CAAACTAATCAGAAGTATAATCTGGTTATGCATCCTAACCAACCACCAGCGGATCAACAGCAGCAACAGAAGGTGCAGCAATCAGTGCAACAACAATATGGTCAGCCAGTCCAGCAATCGCAACAATATGGACAGCCTCAACAGCAACAATATGGACAACCGGTTCAACAGCCACAAGTACCAGTCCAACAATATGGACAAACGGTTCAACAATCACAACAAAATGGGCAACCAGTTCAACCGCAATATGGACAAACACCAGCGCAGGCTGCACCTGTTCCACTTTCTCAAGGATCACTTCCACCCTCCAGTCCGTAATCCTAGTGGCCGATTACCAGTTCAAGTCCTACTTACACCTGCTGCAGTTGGTTATGATAATCCATTCCATACTCCACCTCTCGGTCAACCAGTTCAACCAGGTGCTAAATATGAACAACCAGTAGAGCCACAACAACAACCAGTATTTCAAGAACCCTCACCATATACCAAAACCAACCGCCGGATCCAACTCAATTTATCCGGCCACCAGTTCGTAGAGATAGGGATGCAAGTTCCAAACCACCAACTTTAAGTAGAACTGCTACTCCTACAGCTACTTCACTGCAACCAGTTTCACCAAATCCAGCAGTTCCAGTAACAGCAGCACCATTTCCACAATCAACCAGATCAAGTCCCCCACCAGTTGATTCAATCAAATTTGCCCCACCTCCAAGCATATATCATTTTTATTATTAGCTTTCATTCTACTGATGATGAATCATAACTCATATAAACAGAAATGGATTACAAGAAGCTCTTATTTACAGTATTCATAACCGTTACTTAGCTATCGTGGCTAGAATTGATCTGTCTTCGTCTCTTTGTCGATCTGGATTTATTATGTGGCTTTTTTTTTGTTGTGTTGTTTCCAGATTGAGAGAATTTTTGCAGCATGCAGAGATTGCAAAAAAATATTCGTCATTTCATACATTTTATTCTTTTCTGCCTTTGCTGTTGTTCACAAAGAAATTCACCAATTCAGTAATGTGTATTTAATAAATAATTCTTTATAATTATTCGCTTTGCACTTTGGTGTTCGGTTACTTTAGATTAGTTTGTATTCTGATAGTTCCGGTAGTTCTGATAGTCCTGATTTTAAATTGAGACATTTTGTCAGATCCTTAATTTGAGGTAATCTAGTTAAGTAGTAATATTCGTTCCAACATTTAGTCAGACCCTTCCTCGTGTAGAAGGAAGGTAACCATAACTCATATAGTCTATTTAATATGATTCTTTTGTCTATTAATATGCTTTATTCTATTCTAACATATTCATATAGTAATTGATACTTCTTCTGGTATACATACTTGTCCATAATAAACTTCCAACAATATTATTTTGTCCTATAAATTCCCCCTTCTATAAATCCGATTCCAGAAAGCCATATTCCAGAGAATTATCAATGGAGTGAGACAACCGGGAATTCTACATCGAATATCAAATATTGAAATTAGAAACAAACAAAGTTAACTATATAACTAACTAATTGAAGGCATAAACTTACATATCGATCTCAATAAAAGATTAAACTAAATAACAATAGCAAATAAGAGAATGACTACTCCTGACACCAACATACGTCTACCAAAACCTTTAGAACCCGAACCTTCAATAGGCAAAATATTAACCTCCAGTGTTGCAACTGGTATCCGTGAGTCAGAAAGGCTAGTTGCAAAAGTTACCAAGCTATCTGGTTCAGTAGGGATAGAAGTTTTCGCTGAGATAGTTGCAGTGACTGTTGTTAATCTACCATCAATCGTAGTTGTTATCACACTCATAAATGTACTATCAGGGACACAAGATTGAAGGGTAGTTCCGCAGGATTCTGTTGAGAGAATAGTGGCAGTGGTCGTAACAATAGTTGTACCTTGATCAGGAGTACTAGGTTCATGTTGAGAACTCCTTTTTCTAGATTCCAGTACAGAAGTGTTGGTTGATTCTTGGCATGTACTAGATACTTCAGTGATAGTGGTACTAGTTTCACTCAGCATTGTATAGTCCGATATTGTTTCTGGTTCTACGCCACTAGTCAACCCTGGATTTGAATCAGATGCAACGTGTTCTGGGTCGGTTCTAGAAGAATACGTCTGACTGGCTGTTGTTTCGTTATCATCAGATTCTAATCTTGTGGATTCCACTTCTGAAATTGTTGACTCCGGTTCCAAATTAGTGGATTCGTTTTCTGCAGCAGTCGGTTCTGTTTCGGAAGTAGTTGATTCTGCATCTGGCGTAATTGATTCCATTTCTGAATCATTAGCTGGTTCTGTTTCTGAAGTAGCCAACTCCGGTTCTAAAGTAGTTGATTCTAGTTCTGAAATAGTGGATTCCATTTCGGAATCGGTGGTTTCTGCTTCCACTAGCTCAGTGATTGTTGTCCAACCACTATCATTGGTGGTAATGATAAGTCGTTCAGTACGATCTTCGGTTATTTGAGTTGAAATTGTGGGTATCTCACCTGGAACAGGGGAACTTGTGAACACGCATTTACAGGGACAGTCATTAGCCCCTTCTGGTGCAGGATCCATGTATTTAATGAAAGTATTTCTCTCATGGCTCAACTTGTAAAATTTACTCTCAAGATATCCGAATCCTATGTCAAAGGTGAAGCTTTGAGAACCATCCACAACTTTTAAATATGGTGCCTCGTAGGTGAGTGTCGCGTCTAGCATACCGAAAGGGTTCAACAGATTTTGTGTTCCACCAAACTGTGCCACTTTAATAGGTTTGGGAGTGGGTGAAGTAAAAATAAGTCCTGAACCTGGCCCCTCCTCCCCTGAAAAGCAAAAGCTTGAAAGAATATCTCCTGGAACTTCAACAGCGTCTCCCCGAGACAAACTAATGCATCCATTTGGTCCTCTTTGGGGTGATTGTACTAGGGCCGTTAACCAGCAGTTGGTTCCAAGACAGATCTCCCCTTCGTTTTCAAAATAGTCACTGACTCGTAATCTAAATTCTTCAAGAAAAATACTTCCCTCCTTTAGGTTCCTGAACAGTTCGGTATACCTTGGTGGCCAGTTCAGAAAATGATTGAAAAGTGCCATATCACCAAAGTTACTTATGTTTTTAAAAGAGAAGGTTTCGATGTAATAACCAAAAAAGTCTAAGCGGAAATTTCCATGATTCTCAATATTTTGAAATCCTAATTGATCAACATGATAAAACATTTGAGGAAAAGTGGCAGTATAGAAGAATTGTCCCCCTTCAGCAACAGAAATATCACCAAGGGAAATTTCTTTTTCAAAAACATCAAGAATAGACAATGTACCTGTAATAGTATAGCTTTCACCTGTTTGCGGATCCCCTCTAAGAATAAGTTCTCCGGGAACGTTGAGGCAATTTGAAAATGAATCGAGTAATAATAGCGGTAATAGCAAAAGCAAATTGTTAAACATTCTGAGAATAGTGTCTTTAACAGTTATTTTGAACAAAAAATTAATTAAGTTGAGAACTAAGAACTTTCCGCTATTACCAGGATATTTATAGTAAGTTGGAAAAGAGGACACCTGGTTAATGATCAAAAGTAGGGTGATCTTTCTCTTCCGGAACACCAAAACAATATCTCATGTATGCATGAAGTTAATGATGGTCGTGGTACGAAAGAGAAGTACCCCTCCGCAACGTGACGTAACGCCGTGTATGTCCTCAGATCTATTAGATTCATCGATATTATGGATCGATCGAAGAAGTCAGAACCTAAATAAACCTATTTAAATTATTTAAGAGTACGCTTCCAGAACACCATGGGTTTTAAGCTTCCAAAAGCGACATTTCTATCGTCAGATGCATGTGCTGTGGTAATATATCTTCCTAGTTCCATTTTTCTCCAAGTGAAGAATATTTCGCAGGTGCTGTTGAATAATTTTTCAGAAATGTATGCAAGAAAACCTTATTCTGTATTTATATGAGTGTATGCATGGATATTTAAATAAAGTTTGAACCAGTTTTTGTTAAAAAAAAAAAAAAAAAAATTGGGACTATATTTGGAAAACCACAATGCAGGCATTGTTCGGGAGCGTAAATCCTATTTCTCATAATAGCAAATCCTCAAGATGAAGGCTATTGGCATTTGGAGTCTTCGGAACGTCACTTAACGGGTTATCTGTTATCTATGAAAAATTGTCTTTTTTAGATTATCACTTCTTCCTGGGGGGTCAATTTCGGTGTCATTCGATAGCTGAGGGCGCCGAAACTAAATTTTAGTAGTTGTATTGGGTGATGGGGAGATTCTGGTTTTGCTATTGGCGTTCAAATGCGGATTTGTACCTATGATTGCGGTTTATGTAAGATGCAGAAAAGGTATTTTTACTCAGATTTCTGCGAATGGTCTTTTTCTCAGCTACAAAGAATGGTATTGTATTGACATTTAAGTCTTGTATCTCCTTTGAATCGACCATTATTTAGAGAATATAGATCGTATAGAAGAATTTGGAGTAGACTCACACACCAAAGTTTTTATTATTTTTGTTTGAAAATGGGGGGTGAATGTCTCATAAGATCGGATATCCTTCTTACATGTATGTACATAAATGTATATTACAAAGATTTCATTTTCATGGAGAATACCGTTTGACTAAATAATCCTAATAAACTGGCAAAAAAAATGATCATTCTTCGTATATAAATGGTCATAGTTTATGGTCATTAAAATTAGCAAGATGCTGTATTATACGCAATGATGTGGGTCTAATTTTTTTTAATACTTCGTATTACCAGTATGATCAGATTCTTACGGCTATACAGTTCGAAGATATTTGAGATCCAAACTTGCCACAAAAATATTTTCTGAAATTTTATTTTATACCCCCGTTCTTTTTTACAATTATCATTCTTATTTTTTAAATCTAAAAAAATAATATTTTGTAAAAAAAAATAATCTTACTCAGATCTACTGGACGTACAGATATGATGCATAGATTGGAGAAGGAAGCACCTGGGTCCCACCTAGTACCAGAACGTATATTATATAGAAATTGAGAGATTCTGGTTTCGCAATTGTTGTTCAAATGCTTCGCAGCTACCACTAATGGTATATTGGCATTTAAATCTAATATTTCTTTATTTAGAGAATATATTATAGAGCAATGAGTGGCTCCCCCAACCGTTTTGCGTGTTTCACAAGCTGGGTGTCCTTCTAAAGTTTCGTTTTGCAACTAAGGAGGTGAATGGTGCGGCTAACCCTTCATGGTAGAACTGTATGGGTAACGCTGCGATACAAAGACAGTATGTTACTTTGTATTTAAACAGATTCGTAAATAAAATGTGCAAAAATGGTAGACAGTTTTGAACCAAAGAAATATGATTATGGGACGTCAATTTAGTGAAATATCTGTTTCGTTTGTTTCGAATATAAAAATATTTGATTCAAATCCGTCTTCAAATGCTTGCTATTCTTAGATTTCATTTTACTGATGGTTTATACCTCATGAAGATAAATCCATTAGTAGAAACTTGTCCTTCTTGCTACAATAACCTTGCGCATTATTCTTAAGTATCATGGTTAGAATTGGTCTGTCTTAGCTGTGGCGGTCTAGATTTAATAATCTGCTTTTTTGTGTTCCAGAATGACAAAAATTTGCAGCACTAAGAGATTGCAAAAAAAAATCAATTTCATTTTTTATTCTTTTCGTCTTCGTTGTTCACAAAAATCCACCAATTTAATGATATATTTAGTAGACAAGTTTCTTAATCTCACCAATCCAGCAAATCATTTGTGCATTAGACTATTCAAAAATGTGTTCTTGGCATGGGGTTATTACAGGAAACGAGACCTATTGGGGGTAATTAATCCACAGAAATGAAATAAAACTACAAAAACAAAATTGAAACTTTTTGCAACAACAATCAACATTCCAATATTACCACACTCATTTATCAACACCATGTTACTGGTGTGATATTCAAGTCACTTATAAAGCTTCCGCCCGATCAAGGTTTTAAATACTCAACAAGGAATGCAAACAAAACTCAGCTTAGAACAAAAGGAACTCAGAACAAGTATACATCCTATTCCCACAAAAGTTGTTCTGTTTACTATTATCATTGAAAAATTTGTAACGGTATCAATTTCTTCCGGTTGTATGGATATTTCATTAATTGCTATATTTAAATCAAAGTTTGCACCATAATTATATTAAAGCACAAAAAAATGGGTGAAAATAGACAATCTGGAGAGAGTTTAACTGGATTTCTACTGAATCAGTGCAATCCTTTCATACTTAATTATCCACCTGACCAATGGTTATTTTGTGTGATTGGTTGTTTTCTGATTTCAATGGAAGAAGGTTTGACTCGATCTAGACTGGAATTAGCGTGAAGAATGGGATTCGGAATTTTATGTTCATCTGAATCGCTCTAATAGTGAAATTGTGACGAATCTGATGTGAGGTTCAATTTGATCAAGAAATAGGTATCTTGGAGAGAGGAGGACAGTTTGGGGAGAGCTTGATGGTGTGTTCAATGGTGATGATTGCCGAGAGAAATTCAACAATCGACAGTTTTGTAACAAAACTGATTGTTTGAATATTAGTGCTTATCATACGAGTTTAATCAAGACGAAAGATATTGCAATAGGATTTTATGCATCAGAAGCAGATACTCGTTGGTGTGACTTCATCATAAGACCTCGGGCGATTAATAATAGATATCGTGTTCTCACATCACCAACAACCAACAAACCTAAGAAGAAAGTGCCAGAATAGAATCACTAGATGCTGTTGATTCCCAGTTTGAAATTAAAGATGATGAAGGTACAATAAGGGGACGGCAAGGGGTTGAGAGTGAAAATGTGTCACCAATCAGTGTTATTGCCAGTGTTGATGACTAGTCAATTTGGAAAGAAGGTATGACTTGCTTGTCTAATCATACTCGAATCAGAAGGGGGGGAGGGTGGCGGTGATTAGTTCTTCTGTCTTCCGTCCTGATGCCTTAAGTGAAGTACCAACTAATATTGGAACTACTGCTGTATTGATTGAGTCTGTAGAGGACGTTATTGCAGTAACTACTACCATAGAGACTGTTTATTAAGCAAATGTTTCTACTACTATTTATGAACTAGTCCCAATTGGAGCTGCGATATATGTCACCGAAATAGTCCTAAAATTCCAATACTGCTCATAGAAAGGGTCACTATTGTTAGTAGTCAGTGGGCGAAATCTTAGTTAGTGATGTCGGAAGCTCTCCAGATGGAGGCAGTATCACAGTTTCTGATGCGGCTGAAATCGCAACCCAGGCTAGTCATCCGCTGCCTTCACCTGATGGACCTCTACTTGATTTCGCAAAATGGTTGCCCCTTTTATTTATTTACCTTATGGCTTTTCTTTAGTTGTGTTTTATTTAGAAGAAAATTGTGCTTTATATAGGGTGATGAATAATATCGGTCTCTCCCCATACTTAAGACTCATTTAGTCAATGAACTAAAAAATATTTTTTCCTCACTTTCCTTTTTAATCTCAACACTCCCACATTTTCATTGTCTTCATCATCATCATTTAGATTAGTTACTTAGTATTACAATACACACTTTAAAGCAACTATGTCATTAGCAGATGGTGAATATGAGATAGACTTATCACAACTACTAGAATTACCAACAATACCAACAAATACTGAAGATCAACAACAAGATGTATCTAATGTAGCTATTAGATATGGATTCATACCACCTACTATGGATCAAACTAAACCATTGACTTTATATCAAACGGAACAAGATGGAGATTGTATATTAACCGCAGAGACTACTACCAATAGTAATAATAATACTAATGATAAGATATTGTTTGAAGGAATACCGCAAAGACATAGAAGTAATAGTGGTGGTACTACAAGTACAAGTTCAACTACCAATAATAATAATACTAATGATTCTTATTATTTAAGTTATAATCCTGGTGATAATTATGTTACTTTAAAACGATTGAATACAACAATTAGATTTAATAAAAGTAGAAATATAAATAAATTACAATCAAAGATTAAACAATTGGAGAATCAATATGAATTGGATAAAAAGAAACAACAACTTAAGAAATCTAATAATATCAAGAAGAAATCTTCGGTATCACCTCCTCCAAACAAATCTTCTTCGTCAAAGCAGCGACAACAACCAGTAAGACCCCGAACTGTATCATCAAAGAGACCACCTGCAAATACTACTCCAGAACCTATAATAAAACTGAAGAAACCCACTGATGAAGAACAGAATATTATAAGTGAATCAGATTTTGAAGATTTAGAATTAGAATTAGAAAAACAATCCACTACATCCCCACCACAACGACAACAACAGCACCCTATAAAGTGTAAGGAACCATCACCTGAAGAACCAACTCCTAAGCCTAAGCCTGTCACCACGAAAAAACCAACCCCATCTCCACCTCCACAGAAAATAGAGAAGAAAAAGCCCCAAGCTCCTATATCTGAACCTAAGCAGACCGTCTCTTCAACCAGAGAAGAAGAAGACTTGTCAATGGAACTAGATGACGATTTCAAAGATTTAGAAGATCAATTACAAGAAGTCCTAGAAGAAAAGGAAGTATCAGCTCCAGAAACGATCGCAACCAAAGGCAAATCGCAAGGCACATCATCTACCCAACCAATTGAATTCAACAATCTTGAAGAAGAAGACGACGATGACGATGATGATGAGAGTGATTTCGATGATTTTCAATTCTCAGCTAGGATTAAAATCGATGAAGGTGAGTCAAGTTCATCAAGTTCTTCAAATAAGGCAAAGATTAGTCTTGTTGATAGATCGGGCGCGATTGGTATGAATAAGAAACCGATGAGTTTAAGGGAATTGATAGGCGGTGGAAATGATGATGATGACAATGGGAGAAAAGGCGGTGACGATGTGAGTAGTAGTGAAGAAGAATAGCTTCTTGGGTTTTTGAACATCCTAATATCTGTTCACATAGATTTTACACCCATACACCTAATTATATAATTATAGGTTTCGTTTTTTAATGCATCAGTTAATGCTTTCTTATTTTATTTGGTAATTTCGAGCTTCTAACCCTTTGACTGAGTTCAAGCCATCTCTACCCTTCTCTCCAACTATCTATTCAATATATTATATAACTGTTGTGGTATTCATCATCATCATCTTCTTCTTCTATATATTTATGGACCCAGATTGAGTTGAACTGAAAGTCGTGTGTTTACCAACTTTTCAGGTAATATAAACCCGGCCTTCTTCCACTGATCTGGTTGTAAATATACTTATAGTTATAGAATAGAGGGATCCACAAATGAATGAAACTTTAGCAGAACTTTCCAATCGAATACAAAAGATAGAAATACATCTTTCACAAATTTCAAACAATAAAAATGTATTAACTCAAATCACCAATGTCCAAAGGAAACTTGAACAAGTTTATTTAGATCATCCTGGGTTTAAACAACTTAATTCAATTATCAATGAACTTCGAATATGGGATAAGATACGACCAGAGCCGGAACCAGAAAACCAATGCCAGGAAGTGAGAGATGGTCTTGAAATGACAGATGAGATGAAGAAGGAATTGCTTGTTTTGAATGCTGATCAAATCAATTTGAATTATAGTTTAGGATCTGAATTGATTAATATGGAAATAGATTCAATACTAAAAGGAATTAACAGTAAGCTTATGCAATCTGATAAAGATACACCACTGTTGCTGTCTGCATTATTAGCTAGAGAAAGTGAGGTTCGACATTTGATACGATTGGTTCAAATTGTTACTGTTAAGAATATGATTGTTTATGAAGAATATATGAAACTTATCTTAAAAGAGAATCAATTCTGGATTGATATGGATGAGAGAATTACTAAATTAAACGCAAGAGTTAATCTGATTCAATTGAAAAAGGAATCTTCCAGTAAATACTAATTGCATGTGTCACTTTCATACTTGTCTATTATGAATAATATTTAGAACTAATATACAAAACAGCAGTTTTAGACAGAAATTGTCTTCCAAATGTTTAACCCATCACCACCGGTGGATACCAAACATCCAGGAATTTGTTTATGCCATCTAACATCCTTAACATCCTTTTGCCAATGAACAAACAACAATTGGGGTGGAATATCTTGTAATTCTTTCAATTCTTTTCTTTGTTGAGAAATCTCTTCATCATCAGCTTCAACTGCCAAATCCCATAATGTTACAGTATTGTCTTCACTAGAAACCGCAATTATTGATTCATCCAAAGGATTAAAAGATATTGAGGTAACTGCAGATTTATGGAAATCATAATTAGCAACAGGAGTAGGTTGATTACCAGTATTGAAATTTCTTAAATCCCAAACACTCCAACTTCCATCATCATGTCCAGATGCTAATAAATGATTAATCTTATTACACCAACTAATAACATTCACATCGGTATTTGAAGCAACGACCGAAATAGCCGGTTTATGTTTCTTAGATCTGGTGTCCCAAATACGCACATATCCATCACATCCAGCAGTCGCAAACACAGTATTCTCACTAGTCGACCATTGAATATCTTCAATTGAGGATTGTGATGCAAAAAATGGTGTTTTGTCAGTTGTCCAACTAGATGTTGTTCTTGAAGTTAAATAGATTCTCCCAGATAAATCACCAGTTAACAATGCTCCAGTATTCACCAAAGGGGACCAATCTAATCCATATCCTTCAACATTCCCATGGGCTCTGATTGTATGTATTGGTCTTTTGGCTGATTTAGGGATCATATATCCTGGAGAATCAAATGCTTTGAATTGTGATGCAAGGTCAAAAATATAACATTCTCCATTTTCAGACATGGTGGCGGTTAAATATTCTCCTGTGGTTTGAGCATGGGGTGAAACTCTGATTCTATTGGTTGTATGTTTTAATGGAATTGATTCACTATCCAAAACAGGATCAACATCAAGATCATCATCTTCATCTTCGTCGTCTTCATTATCTTCATCTTCATCTTTGACTAATGTCTTAGCCAAAGATGATGCCTTCATTGCAATCAATTGATTATCTCTATTCTTGGCCGCTTGAGTGGCAGTAGCTAAATATACAGAAGCAGGATATGATCTTCTCTCATCTCCCAAATTATCGGGTATTATATCCACAGTCAAACAAGGCCAGGGTAAATTCACATTATGTAACATTTCATAAACACTTGGATCAGCTTCTAACACTTCATCAGGTCCTAATGGACGGGATCTATGTGGTAAATATATTGATGATTCCTCTTCTTCTGCTGCCTTTTCTTGAGCTTCTAATTGCTCGATCTTCTTGGTGGCTGCGGTTTCATCATCAGCCATGTCTTCATCAATATCTTCTTCGGCGGAATCTAATTCGATGATTTCTCCGTCACTTTCGAATTCATCACCGTATGGATCTTCGAATTCACCGACATCGAGGTTGGCTTCTTCTTCTATATTATTGGAGGATGGGACTGATTGGGTGGCGGTTTTCGTTGTCTTTTGATGATTTTCGAAATCATCGGAATCTGCTGTTCTTTTAGACATGTTGTTGTGTCTTGAGTATTCTATGTTGATGAGAGAGAGAGAAGAGATGGGAATTGAAATTTTTCAGAATTTTTTTTTTTTTAGTGTAGAAAAAGAATTGATGCGGCCATCTCTCACTCACCCCATCTCTCAAATCTAAAACATCCAATCATACATACTATTTGGTTACTCACTCAAGATTTACTTCTAATACTTTCTTCTTAGTAAAGTCAAGGTAAATCAATGGAACGAAAGGCATTCTTAGATCAAGAGCCACCACCAGGGTATATCCCGGGTATAGGCAGAGGTGCAGTTGGATTCACCACCAGTGCAGACTCATTCACTCGAGGTATTGTTGGTACCATCAACAACGAAGACGATGATGATAATGACAACACCAATGCACCCAACAATTATTTAGACAACGAAGGTGGAATCCTCCTATCACGAAAAATACGAGATGATGACGATGAAGAAGCGGAACGAATCTATGCGGAGATTGAAACACGATTGAATTCAACTCGAAAACAACCACAGGACCAAGTGGCGACGACAACATCGACATCCACGGTAACAACTCAATTCAACGATCTTAAGAGAGAATTAGCAACTGTTACGGAAGATCAATGGGCTCTGCTTCCAGAAGCGGGAGATATGACACGACGGAATAAAAGAATGCGAATCCTTGAACAACAACAACAACGAACCTATGCCACTCCCGATTCCATCATCGCAGGTGCAGCAGCTGGTGGTAGTAGTTCGACTAATTTTAAATCAATTTCAGAATCTCGGGACAAATTACTCAGTTCCCAATTAGACAACCTCCTCCCCACCACCACTACAACAGACACCGAACTCGAGAAATCAATCATGAATATGACATCTGGTCGAGATCAAGATTCAAAAATCGCCGATGTCAGAAAAGCAAGATTAATTCTTGGCTCATTGAGAAAAAGTGAACCATATCGACCAAGTTCGTGGATCCTGTCAGCCAGATTAGAAGAAGAAGCACGAAATTTCAAACAAGCGAAAGAATTCGTAAAACTGGGATGTAGGTTGATCCCGAAGAGTGAGGAATTATGGTTAGAGAATATTCGTCTTCATGAACGAGATGTGAAGGAATGTAGGAATATCGTTAACATGGCATTGGAATATTTATCAAATTCGGAAAAAATTTGGATGAGGGCTTTTGAATTAGAACAACGGGATCCTGTGGCACGAAGAAGGGTGTTGATGAAAGGATTGGAGGAGTTACCGAATAGTGCGACATTATGGAGGAAACTTATCGATTTGGAAGATGATCAAGAAACGGTGAAGAAATTGTTTATCAAAGCGGTGGAATTATGTCCTGGAGAATGGGATTTCTGGTTGGGGTTGATTAATATTTCGACATATCAAGATTCGAAAATATATCTCAACAAAGCGAGAAAGGGAGGTATGAAAGGTGATCCAAGGGTTTGGATTGCAGGGTGTAAATTAGAAGAACGTGAACGAGGGGAGGATATGGAGCAAGGAAAACTTAACAAATTGATGAATAAAGCCTTTGCCGAACAAGAACAGAATGATGACAAGAAATGGACGAAGGGTATGTGGTTCGAGAATGCAAATACGGCCAATTCAGAAGGGTTTGGTAAGACTGCCAAAGCAATAGTGTTTGGGTACTTGGATTCACAAAAGCTGGTTGATTATATGGTGATTCTTGAAGATGCTGATGAAATGTACAAATCGGGGAATAAGAATATTGGAAATTGTCTTTTGGAATATATCATGAATCATAATCCTAATGATATTGAATGTTGGAAGAAATTAATCAAAGCAGCAAGAAAATGGTTAACCAATGATTTAGATACATTATTCAAATATTATGAAAAAGCAATTGAATTTAATCCCGACTATGTGTTATTCCATCTCATGTATGCCAAGGACATCTGGAAACTCAAACACGACATCCCACAAGCCAGATCCATCCTCTACAAAGCCCGAGGCTCCATCACCAAAACCACCAAACAATCATTCGAACAAATCAACCTAGCAATCATCAAACTCGAACTCGCAACCCACAACTTCGACAACGCCCTAAAATTCACCACGACCCTAACAAAAACCCATCCTACAGACACCCCGAAATATTGGTATAAACACATCCACATCCTTCGCTCCCTCAACCCAGACTCTCCTCCCCTCGCCGAATCAAAACAAGCACTCACGTATTTCCCAACCAACACAAAACTCCATCTCCAACACATCCAAATCCTTCTCCATGACACCCAACAACCAAAAGTCGCCCGTGAAGCCGCCTCGATCGCCGTCAAGCAACTCCCTGACGCCATACCCATCTGGCTCCTCTTGGCCCATATCGACGATCAATATCTCCATACTAAAATCAGAGCCCGTTCTGTTCTCGATACAGCCATCCAACACAATCCCAAAAATGACGAGCTCTGGGTTGCTAAGATTCGATTAGAAATCGGAGCCCAGGATTTGGTTATGGCTCGACAATTAGTAAACCGAGGCTTGAAACAATTCCCGCAATCGCCGGGCTTGTGGGTGATATATCTAAGTTTGATACCTAAGATGTCACATCGAAAGACGGGGTTTTTGGATGCGTTGAAAAAGACGGAGAATTCGCCGGTGGTGTTGATGAATATTGGGATTTTCTTTTGGATGGATGGGAAGTATACGAAAGCCAGGTCGTGGTTTGAGAGGGCGATGAAGGCTGATGAAACGTTGGGTGATGTTTGGGGATGGATGTATAATTATTTAAAGAGGTTTGGAGACGCGAGAGAGATGGAAGGGTTTTTGGACGAGTATGAACGGGTGTTTGATGATATTAATCTTGGAGAGGTGTTTAATTGTATTAAGAAAGATATTAAGAATTTTAAACTTACTCCTAAGGAGATATTACAAGTTGTGGCAAAGACTGTATTGGAGGGTATAAAATCTAAATAGAATTCTGTTTATATATTGTTAGATTTAATGCACTTAATAGACAAGGAAATTGACCTTCTTCAATCACCCATTTTTGAGCAAGCTCTTCACAAATAGATTTGAATTCATATGGTCCATATGCTTTCAAACTCTTGGAATCGATATCTATAATCAAATAAGAATCTTTATTGGTGGAATATCGTGATACTAATTTCAATCTAGATGATAATTCATTAGGATTACTTGGCGAAGGTAAGAATTCGATTGAATATCCGAAATATTTCGAAATGGTAGTTATGATATCTTTACTCTTTTTCGAATATGTGTCACGTAATCGAGTTAATCTTTTACTTAATTGGGTGATCTTAGTTTGAAGGATTTCCTTATCATTTTCTTGTCGTTCAAAAATGGCTTTGGGTATAAGTTCATCCAGAGGTTTATTTTCGATATATTTTGTAATCAAGCTGAGGTTTTCTTTTCGTAATGCGTCTAATGTTTCTTGTTTTATGGCTTGATCTTTCGCTAATGGATTTGATTTTAGTTGTAAGATTTGTAAACTTTTCCGTTTGGTATTAACTTGTTCGAGTTCTTGAATCTTTTGTTGAGAACATTTTATGGTATATTCTAATTGTTTAACTTTTGAACAAAGTTGGAGATTTTCCTTTTCAAGTTCATTTACTTGAGATTTAAAACTAGATCCATCATCACCTAAACTTCTTGGTCTCTTTTTTGAAGTAATACCTTCATCCAGCCCTCCATTGGCTGATTTTAATTTTTGCTGAAGATTTTCTATTTCTGATTTATAATCCTCAACTAATTTTTCCAAATTTGAAAGATATTCTTCGATAGCTTTATCATTCTTCGGTTGCTGTTCTACCTCTTGTCTTTTCAGTTGTGCCAATGCTACTTCTTGTTCCAATTCTTTTATTCTCTTTCTTAAATATTCAATCTCTTGAGTGTTTAACTTTTTCGTGCTTTCTAATTTATATATTTGCTCAGCCGAAATCTTTAATTTTGATTCAAGTTGTTCAACTTGTGGGAAATAATTTGTTTCAAGTTCATTAACTAAATCATCATGTTCTTGTCTTAAAATATGATTTTCACTTGATTTCTCGGCAAGTTTGGTTTGAAGAATATGATTATTATGTTGAGTTTGTTTAAATACTTCAATGAATTTATTTACTTTGATTGTATTAGTTACATCATCGTCATCACTCACTTTTTGATTTGGATCAACTATAGATTCATTTAAAGTTTTGAATAAATCATTATATTTTGATTCTAATTGTAATTTTTCAATATCCAATTGATAATATCTTTCTTCAAATGGTTGAAGTTTTTGAATTTTGGCTGTTAAAGATATATTCTTTTCCTTTAATACTTCATTTAAAGTTTTGGTTTGTAATAATTGATCAATTTTAGCTTGTAATTTATTATTGGTATTTTGTAAACTAGCATTCTTGTTCAATAAATTTTGATTTAAAGTTGATAATGAATCCTTATTGTTTAGTATACTTGAATAATTATCCATTTCTCTAATTAAATTATCATTAGACAATTGTAATTCATTAATCATCTTATCCTTGTGATCCAATTGAGCTGTCAATTCGTCATTGATTCTAATTTTTAAATTCCAATCAGAACTTACTTGTTGATATTTCCTAACAAGTCTATCATGTTTTGATTCTAATTCATGTAATTGTTTAGTTGCATTTCTATTCTTTTCTTTTAGATCTGTTATTTCTTGTTGTAATTTATCTTTAGATGCCAATTGAATTTGTGATTGATTATCAAGTTTTGATTGTAATTGTTTCTTTTCTTCAAATATAAAATCAAAATTTGATTTTAATTCATTAAATTCTTTTGATTTTTTGGAAAGTAATGTCTTATATTCTGATATTTGATCTTCTCTATCTTGTTGTAATAATTTCTTTTCAGTTTGTAATGAACTTAATTGAAATTGTAATTTGGAAATGGTTGATCTGAGATCTGCTTCTTCTGTGGTTGTTGATCCACCTCCTCCTGTTAGCACCATAGTTGGAGGATTCTCTACGAAAGGTGAAGATCCAGCAGCTGACATTATTAACCTCTTCCGTCTTTGCTTTAGCCTTGTCTTTTTGATGAGAGAATTTTGGCAACATCGAAATTCTATCTTTGTTTGTTGATATTTTTTTTTTCAGTTAAGGTTATAATTACAATTGGTAGCACTTTGTTTTTCCGTTTGTAATGTGTGTTAAAGATTTAATCAGATGATAATTATAGCCACTTACATTATTTAAAAAGCAGTCAGGCAAACTAGAAAGACAAATCGAAAGGCAATAGAGAGAGAATGTCTAAGATGTATGTTTATTTATTCACAATTGATACAGACACGTGACTTGTACTAACAATTATTTGAACAGTCCAAGAAATTTCAAATTATTAGAAGAATTAGAAAAGGGAGAGAAAGGATTAGGAGCAGAATCTATTTCCTATGGATTAGCTAGTCAAGATGATATTACCATGACATATTGGAATGGTACTATATTAGGACCACCTCATTCATGTCATGAGAATCGTATTTATTCATTACATATTGTTTGTGATGAATCATATCCTGATAAACCACCCAAGGTTAAATTTGTATCAAAGATTAATTTACCATGTGTTGATTCTAATGGGAATGTTATACCTGGAGAATTTGATACTTTAAAGAATTGGAGAAGAGCTTATACTATGGAAACTGTATTACTTGAATTAAGAAAGAGTATGGCATCTCCTTCTAATAAGAAATTACAACAACCACCTGAAGGATCTACTTATTAGTACCTTATCTATTTTGTATATTAACCAACCCATATCCCATTTCCCATATAGATTGATTGTGTGTCTATTTACTAGTCTCTTTGTATAATTAATACATGTTATATCTATCTACAAGTACAACCTATCACTATAAACTTCCATCTGATTCAATTTCCATTAATTTCTTAAATTCTTGTTCTGCATTCATAAATTCTTTAACAATATTGCCATGGGTTATTAATAAATCTTTATTAGTTTGATTATTTGTTATTTCAATATTAATCCATTTCTTCAGTATAACTTTCTTACCATCTATCTTCTGTTTAGTATCAATTAAACATCTTTGAAATATTCTTTTAAATGGTAAACATATTATTTCTGGTTGATTTATTCTATTTGGATCTGGTTTAAATGTACATTCATGTTGAGTTATTGATTTTAAATGACATTGATATTTCTCTGGTTCAGTTAATTGTTGTTTATATTTTGATTTAATATCATTTAATGAATATACTGGAACTGGTGGGGCCATCCTTATTGGTTACCTTGATACGATAGATAGATAGATAGTTAGTTAGTTAGAGAGGAATGTATTACAGTCGTACTGATCTATCCCGTGAACAGAAGAAAAAAAATTACTAATTAATAATTGATTCTCTTTTTTTGTATGGGCTACAAGACAATATCAAATTACTCTATCAATATCAATCAAATCTCTTAGATTAGGTCGAAGAGTGTAATACGGCGATTTAATTAGACCTGCTCATCTAACACAATGAGTTTCAGGTTGTTCGGACTTGTTTTTTTGAATCTCTTCTGTATTTTAAGAATATACATTAGTGAGCAATTGATCTCTTTTTCGATATTTTTCTATACAATTTGTACCAAATTTCGACAAGTTGTAAGTTAGTGCTATCATCAAAAGAAGAATAAGGGTTTCCTCGAGTATTCATATGTACATAGCTCCCACTTCTCTTAGACAATATTAAATACGGCTGAAGCGTTAAATAATTTTACATTTTACTTAAATGAAAGATACACATATAATAAATATAAACTACAATAATCATAAATGGCTGCAAACCTGTTTAACACCTCACATCGATACCTTTTCTTTTCTCACCTTCTCTCAATTCAAACATCACTTGACTAGCAACAAACAACGCACTGCAAGACAACAAGAAGAATCTAAATCCATCCCAAGTCTTAAACAAATCATGTAACAACTTTAAAGTCCCATCTTTCCCCAAACAAAACCCAACAAGGTTGGCAATCATCATCATCCAAATATTAACAACCGCTCCTAATCCACATAAATATCTATACCACCAAGCTTCCGAAAACCTTTTGAAATAACTAGTGGCAATAATCTCAGGAGTTAAAAATACAACAATCAACCATCCCCACATCAATAGTCTCAATTCGATATCATGCCAAATGGCAACAAAACTGAATACCAACAAACTATTCAAAATCCGATATTTCCCACCTCCGCCTAATGGAATATAGATATATCGAATAACCCATCTATTATACGATCTATGCCATGCTCTCCAAAACGCCAAAGCCAGGAAATTATTATCCATACATCTAATCATATTCTCCGGTGGATCAATCCCATCTAATAATGCCCATAATCGAAACATTCTCCATGGAATTAATAATTTCAACCAGATGATGTTTAGATTAAACATTCCTAACATCGATAATTGGAATGGAGTATCGTTATCCCATGCTTTAGTTTTGGAAACGGCAACGACATAAGTGAAATGTAATAAGATTTCCATAACCAATACACAAAAGCAGAATCGAATGAAATATTGGAAGATGCGATAGTAGTTTTGGACGGATTTCAATTGGTCGTAGTTGGATTGATAGATGTAATCGTTGAAGGTTATGATTGGCCCAGCTAGGAATAAGGGGATATAGGTTATGTATGCTATGTAATTTATGGGGTTATAGTCTTCGATGGGTAATGGTGCTGTTAATCTTTGTCTATCTTCAAGATTAACGAGTGAGGAACTGGTTGCTTCTTTTGTCTCGAGTTGTTGTGGCTGTAAGTTGTTAATTGTTGTTTTTCTTTCTAAATAATCAAGATTGAATGAAAGCATCCTCAATAAGGTGAAATTATAAAATACGTCCCATCTAGCTATGATACCTTTAAATCCAAGATCTAAAATCTCCATTCCAAAAGGATACGATCCCCACCAATGATTTATAAACAATGTAGAAACTCCATATATCCAAGTTGACCAAACCGCAACCTTCTTATCAGGGATAAATCTCGAAATACAATAATTCACCGTTAGATGTACACAAATCTTCAACACATTAACACCATGAGCACCAATCAAAAACAATATCCCAAATCCAAAATCAAAATATGTTCTCTTTTTGGTACTTGCAATTCCATTTATCAACCTCCTAATTCCAACATGAATAATCACCAATACTGCCAACAAAGGTAAATTATTTCTAAAGAATCGATACTGTTGATCTGAATTATCAACTTTTCGTCCCCAGATCCAACCATCACTTAATAAATGTTGAAATCTGGGATAATTTGGGTTTGTTTCATTCAGAGCTTCCATTGCCGCTTTGAACATGGATGGAACGGCTAATATTACGATTACGATGTATATTCTGAATTCGAGGGTTTTCCATCTTGATTCTGGATTGGCTTTTTTGATGATTGATTGACGTTTTTGTTGGGAGTTGGAAGATGGGGAGAGTCTGGTGTCGAGCGTTTCTAGGGAGAAGAAGTTTTGGATTTGGGTGAATAGAGTGGTGACTGAAGTCATCTTTGAAGTACCTTGGTTGTTTGTCAATTGGGTACTAGTTACTGCTAGTCGATTGTTTATGTTGGTTGTGTTGTTCTTGGTGGAAGTTAAAAATAATTCAACTGACAGAAAGACAAGTAATCAGACAGACAAAATTAATTCGCAGACAGACAGACAGAAAAAAAATTTAATTTTCACTATCAATCTTCAGTTGAAGAGAAGACCAGAGAAGACTACACAAGGCTACGCAAGAACGGGCCAACACGACATAAGATACGAGAAGAATCGATTCGGCAAAATGACAAAACCAAATGATCAAGAATTTGCAGTAGAAAGAAGACCAAATCCAAAAGGATGGACCCCACCAAAAGCACCGTACAATCCCTATGATCCAACCGATATTAGACCGCCGGAAGGATATCCATCTGAATTCCAACAACCCCATGCCCAACCAAGTGGTCATTCTTCCATCCCTAAACCAGCAACTCAATATCAAAGAGTGAATGAAACCATGCAAAGATTAAATTATTTACCTAGACCAATGTCAGACTTATATCCTGGCCAATATAAAGTATTACGTAAAGTAGATACTAATCAAAGATTACATCGAGCTGCTGGATTTTTCGGTGGTATATTAGTTGCTGGAGCTGCTATATATGGGGCGTTTTTCTATAGATGGGATGGGAAGGAGAATGTATTTAGTGGGTTTTATAGAATGAGATTAAGATTTAAAGAAATTGCCCTGGGATTGACGGAACAAGAATATGATGATTTATATCATCCTAGACAAAGAGATTATCATTTAAGACCAGTTAAGGATGCAAAATATATTCCTGAAACTTTGAGAAAGACTGAAGAAAGTAAATTTGCATTGAATAGACCGGGTGAAAGACATATTTTGGAAGCTCAAAGAATTCAACAAGAAACTGAAGAAAGTATGTTGAAAGAATTGGAATTTCATAAACAATTTGCTAAAGAGTTTGAAGAAGATTTGAATAGACAAGAGCAGCAACAGCAACAAGAAGAAGTTCAACTGACCACTACTCAAAGAAAGAAGTGGTTTGGTATATTTTAATAGAATAAACTCAAATGGTCATATACACATATACAAACCTGTACATATATTTACATAGTAACAATACTAGCAAGAGTGATAGTCATATAAAAATGTAACCAATTTGTATGTTACACTTTCTCGTTTAGTCTCACCACACTAGAAAATTAATACCGAGAATATCTCAACGGTTATTTTTTTTTGGCTTGTGCTTCTTCTGCGTCTTCTGTTACAGTAAGCTCGTATAAAAAATAGAATCAAATCACCCCGTGAAACTTTGTTTCATATCTTTATATCTAATCTTCTTTTAGTTTATATGCTTTACTTACATAAGTAAACGATGTCAGTCCCAAAGAGAATATCGGCATCAACAACTTTCATTAACATTTCAATCTTTTTAATTAAACTTATAAGTTTATATGTCACCAAATTCTTAGGTTATACGTTTGCATCCTCAGCCACAACAACAGAACCAACAACTGATTCCAAGAAAATAGCCAATGATGACTTCAAAAACAGAATTATGAATGCTACTGAAATAACAGAAATAACTAAGCTAAGTGGATATATAGCAAGAGAACATGTTGTAACTACAAAAGATGGTTATTTATTAGTTATTCATAAAATAGAAAATCCAACTAAAACATACTCAGGCCATAAAAAGATTATATATTTTCATCATGGTTTATTAACAAGTTCTGAATTATGGGTATTAGGTTCAACCAAGGAGAAAACATTACCCTATTTGTTAGCCGATTTAGGTTATGAAATTTGGTTAGGTAATAATCGAGGTAATAAATATTCAAGAAAACATTTAAAATTGTCAGCGTCAGATCCAAAATTTTGGGATTTCTCTTTGGATGAATTTTCATATTTTGATATCCCAGATACTATTAATTATATTAGGAATTTCTATAAGAATAATTCCAAAGTAACATATATTGGATTTTCACAAGGTTGTTCTCAATTATTTGCCAGTTTAAGTCTACATCCATATCTTAATTCTCATATCGAATTATTCATCGGTTTATCTCCAGCAATCATCCCACAAAACTTAAATCATCCAATATTCAAACTAATAGTCAACCAAACAGCAGCAGATAACACATTTTTATATAGTCTATTCGGTCGTCGGGCAATCCTACCCTCAGTTTCATTTTGGTCAACCATGCTCGGTCCAACTTTATATGAAATCATCGTTAACAAATCACTAATGTTATTATTCGGTTGGTCAGGCACAAATATCAATCAAGCCCAAAAAGAAATGGGATATCCTCATATGTTTTCCAACTCTAGTGTGAAATCTTTAGTACATTGGTTTCAAATCATTGGCGCTAGAAGATTTCAAATGTTTGATGAGACTTGTGGAGTAGGTTTGACTAGATTAGCGTCAATGTCGACCCTTCTGAAACAGAAAGGAAATGTCGTGGCTCCATTTCCTATCGATCATCATTTAAATGTGCCCATGGTCTTGTTTTATGGTGATAACGATATTTTGGTGGATATGGAGAGGACAAAGAGTTTGATTATTGATAATAATTTGAGTATGAGAGATAAACTTGAAATAGTGTTATGTTCTGGATATGAACATATGGATACATTATGGGGTGAACGAGTATTTGAAGATGTGTTTGAATATGTAATTGAAATACTTGAACGGAATTGTAAGAAGAATTTAAATAGCTGTAATGGTAATGTTAATGGGAAGATTGTTAATGGAAGAACAGTATTGAAACAAATCAATATTTAGAATTTCTATCCATATTAAATAGAATATTTAGATTAATAAACTTAGAGCATATACTTATATTAACCCTGTTTGATCATATTTGATAGTTCACTATTAACCTATTGATAGATCAAAATTTAACCCTGTTAAAGTTACCCGGCTTTTTTCAACTGCTTTCAGCTCATCAATCTATAAATGAGATTTGAAAATTTTTTTATTCTTTTGTATATTTCTTCCTTTTCTTCTTTTTCTTCTTTAACGCAAAATTTCACAGCCATTCACAACGCTAATGCATTCCTTTGAGGTTGAACCCATTATGGCGTTCTGACCCATGACCATTGGAATATAGTTGTAAGTTCATTTTTTTGACTTTTTGTAATGGACTGGAGAATAAATTTTCAGAGTTGATCTTGGGTGCAGCATTCCATCTGTTTAAATAACTTTGTTTATTTTCTAAGGGTTTTACCTTCGTGTGCCCGTATGGGGAGTGGTGCAAGGATCAGCTGTACATATCTTATCTATCTCTGTTGTTTTCATATTGTGATGTCTTCCAGAAGAAGATGAATAAGTGTTGTGTGCGGTAGCTTCACTGTTGTGAACGGCTTCTTATCGCTTCCATTCAAAAGCGACTAAGAGAGTTTAGTGAATACGATCTTCGAAGGTTAGCGTGTACCTATCTAGATCCATAAAATATTGAAATTTGGTTAGTCATCTGGACGGCTCTTAGTAACCAAGTGATGATTGGTGCTTGTGCAAATAATTTGCAACAATATCATTCATCTTTCGAATACGACCCGATATCTTGTTACCTGACTATTTGCCAAGTAACTGTCAACTGTCTTGACTTTGGCTAATAGTAATATCTCTTAGTTTGTGTATCTTCGCAAGCCTGGCTATGAAGAATTTAGTTGGTTGTCGATTTCCTGCATAGAAAGCTCTCCTCTCTTCTAAATTCAATCTCTTTCTATTCACAATCTTCAATACCATGGTAATATGAAATATCCGTACTTAATATTCCTATGTGTTGTATTGTCTATAGCTACGGCTACTACCACTGAATCAACAACGCCATTAAGAGTCGCGATATGGAAACGAGACAATCCAAAATGTCATGAAATCCATCAAACCCCAACACAGCAACAATGTCAATTCAGTAAAACCAACTGTATAGAACCAGAAGGCATAATCAACTATTTCACCTCCTACTACTGCACATTCAACTTCCTCCATTCATTCGCCATAATCCCAATCTCAGTCTGCCTAATCATCTGTTTTGTTTCCCTAGGTATAACCGCTTCAGAATATCTTTGTCCTAACTTATACACCATATCAAAATTCCTAAAACTTTCAGACAATCTAGCTGGTCTCACATTATTAGCATTCGGAAATGGAGCTCCGGATGTTTTGAGTACCTTTCATGCCATAAATATGGATTCCAGTGGGCTTGCAATTGCAGAATTGTTAGGGGCGTCATTATTCATAGTCACGGTTGTGATTGGATCAATTGCGGTTGTGAATCCATTTGAAGTACCTCAGAATTTGTTTATTAGAGATATTGTGATGTATTTGTCTGTGATTTTGATTGTGATTGTCTCGATGATGATTTGGGGGTCATTACTGATTTTTGTATGTTTGATATTGGTATTGATATATATTTTATATGTTGGGTTGGCTGTATATAGTCATTCTGCCAAAAAGAGAAGAATCTTACAATTATTGAGAGATCAAAGATCAAGAGCTCATTTTGGTGGGGATGCTGGTGTTGGTCCACGGACTCAGGATATTGATGAAGTATATCTTGACAATTTTGCCACTTTGCCAACAATTGATGAATTGAATTTAGTCCTGCGTGATTATAATGACACTGAGTCCTTGAATATGAATGAATATGATACGTTTTTGAGTTTATCCCAAGATGCATCAACTCAGGGTATGGTACTGGCATCTACTGGTTCATATGGGCTTAAAATGTTATTAAGAGGTTTGGCAAAACATTCAAATATAGGTGGTGGATCGATTCAAATTTCTACTGAAAGACAATTGAGCGCTCCAGCATCAGAAAACAATGTTGTGCCAACCGCTCTGAATGAATCATTTGTCAATGATGGGTTGTTTGAGAAAAGATGTAACAAATTCCTTGAATTAATCTGTCCCCAACTTGTAGGATTCAACGAGTCCTCACTCGTGGTCAAACTATTCATGATATTATCATTCCCAATAATGACTATCCTCCGTATCTCCAACCCCGTGAGAGATCAAGAGAAAATCACGACCATAAACTCCCAAATCAAATCCCAATCACGAGGCGGCAACCCCCACCACGACCCTTCATCATTTGATTATATCCAAGACTCCCAACTCCTAATCATCCAATCCATCTCCGCCACCCTCCTTCTCCAATTCGTCTACTTCCACCCCACAAAACTCTGGATCCCAATCACAATCATAATCGCCCTCCTTTGCGGGTATCTAATCCGAATAATCTATCCCATCAATCCCAATACCCCGCAATTCGCCTTCCGAATCACCCTAATCAATCATTCAACCTCGATATTGGGGTTCTTGGTTTCCATAACCTGGATATCGCTCTTCGCCACAGAAATTATTAATATCCTAAAAGCGATCTCCGAGATCTATAACCTAAGTGATGACATTTTGGGCATGACCGTATTTGCCCTCGGGAATTCAGTGGGGGATTTTATTTCGAATTTAACGATTGCGAGGATGGGAATGCCGATGATGGCGTTTGCGGCCTGTTTTGGTGGGCCGTTGTTGGCGCTTTGTTCATTAGGGTTTAGTGGGTTAGTTATTATTCCGAAGAAGACGAACGAGTTGGTGGGGGGATATCCTTTGGAAATGAGTAGGACTTTGGGGATTGTCTGTTTTGGGTTGGTTGCGAATTTGGGGTTGTTGATATATGTTATTCCGAGGAATGGTTGGGTGTTGGATAAGAGGATTGGGACTTTGTTGATATGTAATTGGTTCATAGCTACTTCTTTGTGTATACTAAGTGAAGTGCTTTAGTTGATAGATAGATAGAGAGTAATACAGTAAAAGAGTTAAATACTTTATAATATATAAATTTTAATTTATTCTGAAATACAAGAGCTATAAACAAAAAGTAATAATAATTTTAGAATTGAAATATAAACAAAACAATATAACCAAACCCACCGGAATTTTCCTTAAACATTTCTCATTCATTTAATCAACTTCTTCAACAGTTGGGCCGGAATCACCACCTGCACCTCCACCTGGAGCACCTCCTGGGAATCCTCCTGGAGCACCACCTGGGAATCCACCAGCACCAGCACCTGGAGGAGCACCACCAGCGGCAGAATAAGCAGCAGTAATAATTGGGTTTGCAACCGATTCTAATTCCTTATGTTTATCCGCATATTCTTCAGTTGAAGCAGCTTGAGAAGAATCTAACCAAGAAATAGTGGAGTCAATAGCTTGAGTTAATTTTTCTTTATCAGCTTCAGGAATCTTATCCTTCATTTCACCATCATTAATAGTATTCTTTAATGAATATGCATAAGATTCTAAACCATTCTTAGCTTGGATTCTAGCAGCTTCCTTTTCATCATCTTCCTTAAACTTTTCAGCTTCAGAAACCATTCTTTCGATATCTTCTTTAGATAATCTACCCTTGTCATTAGTAATGGTAATCTTTTGAGTCTTACCAGTACCCTTTTCTAAAGCAGATACATTCAAGATACCATTAGCATCGATATCAAAGGTGACTTCAATTTGTGGGACACCTCTTGGAGCAGGTGGAATACCGGATAATTCAAACTTACCCAACAAGTTGTTATCTCTAGTCTTGGCACGTTCACCTTCATAAACTTGAATCAAGACACCTGGTTGGTTATCAGCGTAAGTTGAAAAGGTTTCAGACTTCTTGGTTGGAATTGTGGCATTTCTTGGAATCAATTTAGTCATAATACCACCCGCAGTTTCAATACCTAATGATAATGGAGCAACATCCAATAATAATAAATCTTGAGTCTTGGAAGAAGTGTCACCAGTTAAGATAGCAGCTTGGACAGCAGCACCATAAGCAACGGCTTCATCTGGATTAATTGATTTATTTAATTCTTTACCATTAAAGAAATCAGATACTAATTTTTGAACCTTTGGAATTCTAGTAGAACCACCAACTAAAACTAATTCATCAATTTGAGATTTATCAAGCTTGGCATCTTTAAGAACCTTTTCAACTGGATCTAAAGTAGATCTAAATAAATCAGCACATAATTCTTCAAATCTAGCTCTAGTGATTGAAGTATAGAAATCAATACCTTCATATAAGGAATCGATTTCAATTGAAGTTTGGGCAGAAGAAGATAAAGTTCTCTTTGCACGTTCACAAGCAGTTCTTAATCTTCTTAAAGCTCTTTGATTAGTGGAAATATCCTTCTTATTCTTTCTCTTAAATTCTTCAACAAAGAAATTAACTAATCTACTATCAAAATCTTCACCACCCAAGTGAGTATCACCATGAGTTGCTTTAACTTCAAAAATACCTTCATCAATAGCTAATAATGAAACATCAAAAGTACCACCACCTAAATCGAAAATTAAAACATTATGTTCACTCTTGGACCCCTTCTTATCTAAACCATAAGCAATTGCAGCTGCAGTTGGTTCATTAATAATTCTTAAAACATTCAAACCAGCAATTAAACCTGCATCTTTAGTGGCTTGTCTTTGTGAATCATTGAAATAAGCTGGGACCGTAACAACAGCATCAGTAACCTTGGTACCTAAATAACCTTCGGCAGTTTCCTTCATTTTAACTAAAACCATTGAAGAAATTTCTTCAGGACTGAATTGTTTAGTTTCACCTTTAAATTCAACTTCAATGATTGGTTTACCACCTTTATCAATAATTTTAAATGGGAAATGTTTTTTATCATTTTGAACTTCAGGATCAGAAAATTTTCTACCAATTAAACGTTTAGCATCAAAGACGGTATTTGCAGGATTCATTGCTGCTTGATTCTTAGCAGCATCACCAATTAATCTTTCAGTGTCAGTAAAGGCAACAAAAGAAGGAGTAGTTCTATTACCTTGATCATTAGCAATGATTTCAACTCTATCATTTGCAAAATGGGCTACACAAGAATATGTAGTACCTAAATCAATTCCTACTGCTTTTGACATTTTATAATTGTAATTGTAATTGAATGATTATTAAAAAACTTAATTGTTAAACCAATTAAAGAATAAGAGAAAGAGAAAAAGAGAGAAGGGGATAAGAAGATGGGGGGAGTTTATTACAAGTATTTATAGAGCAAATATTGGCAATTTGAAAAAGGGGGTAAAAAAGATTTTTTGAAAAATTCGAGAACCTTCTATAAACTTCTTAGAAAATTCTTTGGTACCCGCGGCTACAGTATGTACAAGTCATATGACTTATGTCAGGTGACCTTCCTAATGTATTTTATCTCATCTCATCTTAGAATATACTAGAACATACTAGAATTAATTGCTAATCTATTGAATATCCCTGTCTTCCAATCTTACTAAACTTATACACAGTTTGTAACTGTAACCCCCAGAATTTTGTGTAGGGTTCCAAGTATTTCATTTTTGTGTAAACCTTTTAGTTAGAAATTGTTCTGGGCAGTCCATTTGCTTCAGATTGTCTAAACAATAGACCTGCTTAATTTAAACTGCCTTATGACGTTTCTTTAACAGAACACGAACAGTTCAGGGAATCATTAACCAAGGGTGAAATATATTTGTAATTTCGTTAGAGTATTCCATGAATATAACAATAAATCCATCTTAGTTATATTGTACTACGGCATTGGTTTGTAGACACTGAATTAACTAGCTATTTCGTAGTAAATTTCTTCAGTCTGTGTACATTTCCAACAAGTACTTATAGAAAGACAAATCTATTCATGAAAATTATACTTATTGTACAGATTTTACACTACTCAATTAGCTGTTATATCTATAGAGGATATACGTAAGTGGAGCTCTCATCTCACTAAAAGTTAAGAACTCAAAGATTGATATCAATTTACGATTTCATTTGTGTAACAAATTCAGTGGTGGTGAAAATTTGTAGGGCATTCTTTGGGTAAGTAAAAATTTAGAAAGCAGAGAGAAAAAAAAATTTCTTCTAACTTTTCACTTCTTCTTCTTCTTCTTTTCTTTCTTTCTACAGAGTAATCCATTCCAATGGCGTCGTTCTTTAGTTTATTATTAACAATCTAATTAACTTGATAGCTGCTGGTTTTCATCGCGTTTGTTCTAAAGAGTGTATTCTGCTGTCTTTTGCAGATACATCTCTTTAACAAACAAAGGTAATTTATTGCCTTAGATGAAGATTTGATGGTTTTATAGAATAACTTTACCGAAAAGGGTGTATCTCCGGTTGATGAGTTAAACAATGACTCTTTCGGTCATAATCCCTTTTACATTTATTAATTTTTTACAATTATATCAATTAGTTGGAAGTTGCCAGTGCAGGGTATACCTTGTCTGTCGTTCTATGTTGGGTTTACCAGTGTGATATCTTTCTCGAATTGATTGAAGCTAATCTTCAGGACGTATACTTTATACTTTGCCTTTCTTATCCGTAATATGAACTATACATGAAACGTGTAAATGCAAAGTGTTGAAAAAGTTCAATCTCTGCCCTTTCTATTTCACCCTGACTACTCTCCACTGTGGCTAGAAAAACGCGTCTAAATTTTTCAATCATATTATCACTCGCATCTGATCTGAGTTTAATAACAATCCCAAGTAAAATGCCCCGTGGACAATTAATCCTTATAGAAGGACTAGATAGATCCGGGAAATCAACCCAAGCAGCCTACTTAAATTCCAAACTCCCTTCCTCCGAATTAATAAAATTCCCTGACCGTTCAACTCCAATTGGTAAAATCATTAATGAATATCTCACAGATAAATCATTCAAATTATGTGATCAATCGGCTCATTTATTATTCCTGGCGAATAGATGGGAATTAAATCAGCAAATTCGTGAATTGTTAAATCAAGGGAAATTCGTTGTTTTGGATAGATATATATATTCTGGGATTGCGTATACTTTGGCAAAACATGATTTCCAAGGACAAGAAGGGGATGAGATTGTTTCAAGTGGTGGACCCAGAAGTAAGGAATTGGGAGATGTGGATTGGTTATTGGGACCGGATAAGGGGTTACCTAAACCTGATTTAACTTTATTTTTGACATTGGATCTTGAGGAAATAAGTAAGAGGAAAGGATGGGGTGATGAACGTTATGAAATGCAACAATTTCAAGCAAAAGTGAAAGAATGTTTCTTAAAAATATTAACTGCTGAACAAGATCCAACTATACAGATTGTAGATGTTGGTGGGAAAGATATAAATCAAGTATCTGAATTATTATGGGAAATCATTACATCAAAGGGACATGATAAATTAATTGATGAACCTATACACTTAATCTAATTTATCTAAATAACTCAATCGTTCCAAGATCTTATTCTTCAGTATCTCTTGTATTTCTCCTCCTAGATATATTTCATCAAGTATATAATATAATTTATAGAAATTAAATACCAAATCAACTTCACAAACATTATTAAAATAAACATCCAAAATTTCAACTAAGAAATGTAAACTTTCTAAATAACTTAATTCAGAATCAATTAAATCAATTGATGATATGAAATATAATCCAGCATATCTTCTATAGACTAATTTATTCTGTTCAAATTCAACGAAATTGGATTGATATTTAGAATCTCGACTACTAATCAATCGATGGATTGACAGAACATATTGTCGTTTCTCTTGAGGTGTATATGAATTATTAAACCATTTGGCTAATCTGGTTTTACCTTGTCGATTAAGAACTAATAAGAAGTGGATTGACATTGATTGGGTGGTATTGGCTGGTATCGACTGTGGTGGGTTTGGCAACAATTTGTCTCGTTCTATTTTTAGTGCGATCGCAATAAAAAGATTGGTACGAAATCTGGCCCCAGAGAAAATTATCTTACGTAGACCTTTGGACGCGTGTTGCTAAAAACATCTATTTCTTTAAGCACACTCTGTGTCGTTGTACTAACACGCTCAATCGATTAGTAACAATGAATCAATATGATGAATTCAATGGAGGTGATGAACAAGATGAAGAAAGAAGATCCTATCAACAATATGAAATCAAAGAAGCAATAGTTTTCCTTATTGAAATAACTCCTGAATTATTAATGCCCCAGGCAGATCTTAATTCCCATTCCCAATTATTTGAAATCTTATCGAGTATAAATGATTTAATGTCAGAATTAATAATCACAATGAGAAATACTGGAATTGGGATTTATTTCTATAATTGTTCTTCATCTCCTGTTTTAAAACTGATGAAATTACCAAATGGATTTCATAAATTATTTAGATTAAATGTATTAAATCTTCAAAATATGAAAACTTTAAATGATTTAATTCAAGATCATAATCTTCAACTTAAACCATTGGAATCTTCATTCAAATATCAACCAATGGAGGATGAGAATCATTTATCAGTGGTTTTAAATCGAATTATTGATGAAATGTCAGCTAAACCACAATTCAATAGGAAGAAATTGGTTTGGATTACAAATAATGATAAACCATATACTAAAACTTCAACCAAGGAGAATTTATGGAGAATAATCAATGATTATTATAATTATAATTTCTTTATTGAACCGTTTTTCCTTTCTTCACCTACAAAACCGTTTGATTTTGAACAATATAAAGACGTGTTTTTGAATACAAGTTTCTTAAAGAAAAGTCAGGAAAGACAAAGTCAAGAAAATGATGATGATGACCACGAACGTTCTGGTGGATTCACGAAAGATTCTCCGATATTCAAGAAATCAATGCTTGCTAACCAAATTCGAAAAAGTATATTTAGAATAAAAGAAGTTAGAAGAATGTTATTCCTGTGTAATCTAATCCTAAGTGATAATGGAACCATTGGAGGTGGGTTAGGTTGTACCGTTAAAGGATATACCCTCTATTCTCATGAGAAATACAAAAAGGATCTATTGCTATATACTCGAGAAGAAACAATCAAAAAAGTATTCTTGGACTCAACCATGATAAAATCCGGTACTGGTGAACAAATTCAATTAAAACCAAATAAAGAGAAATCAGTTGCTCAAAGAAAAGAAGAAGCTGGAATTCGTAAAGGGTATGAGATTGGTGGTGGTCAAGATATTATCTTCTTGAATAGTGAACAGTTGAATTTCATAACTAATTATGCATTTGATCATAGATTAGAAGAGTTTGAAGATGCTGACGAATTCACGGAAATAAAGGAAGAAGATGACGAAGAATCAGAAAAAGTTTTATATTCAGAACCGCCATATTTGAAATTACTCGGATTTAGAGATCTCGAAAACTTCAGTCCGGTCTATTGTTGTGGCCCACCAGTCTTTGTCACCGCTGATTTGAATAATGGAATGAAGACAACTTCAATAAAAGGAGGCTTTACCAATTCTTTAGAAACTTTGGCATCATTATATCGTTCCTGTCTAAAATTAAAACAATATGGTATTGTATTTGGGTGTACCAAACGTAATGCTCGTCCCCATCTTTATGCATTATATCCTACCCAAACTATAAAATCATCCAGAAATATCCCCGATGAACAAGACTTCCCTCAAGGGTTTTTATTAATCAAATTACCCTGGGTTGAAGATATAAGATCATTACCTGAAGATTTCATCACTGACGTAGACTATCAAACCACTGATTTAAACAAAGCTTATGATGATGAATTAGTCCAAGATTTCAAGATATTATTCCAACCATATACAATGCAATATTATAATCCAAAAGATTTCCCCAATCCTTCATTAAATTATTTCTATAAGGTTATCAAATATGAAATCCTTCAAATGGAATTAAAACCCCTGGAAAGAACACTATTAAAAAATGATATCACCATGCAAAAATTAGCCCAATTGAAACAAAGAATAGATCATAATGATACTTCTCAATCAATAATTCGAAAAATTAATCTTCGTTTAAATGAATTAGAAGATAGTTTACCAAAACGGAAAATCCCCGACTCGGTATCCAGATCAACCAAGAGACCAACAACTAAGAAACTTCCCGAGATTGATGAGGAGGCGGTTTTGGTGAAATGGAAACAAGGGACTTTGAATGAATTTACAATGGATCAATTGAAGGGGTTCCAGAAGAGATATCCTCAGATTAAGATGGGAAGTAGAAAAGCAGAAATGGTGGAGAATGTGACCAAGTTCTTAGATTCTAGAGAGAAGAGGTAATTCTGCTTGAAATAGAATGTTTTGTATATATTTATTTTCTCATTCTTTTTGTATGATATATGTGACTATTTATTATTGAACGAGTTTCAAATACTGGCGACGATGCCCTCAATTCGACACTCTGATTAATTATCTCAAGGATTGACGAGGATTAAGCAAAACGACATTTTTGCAGCCATTTAATTTTCAACCTATCTGATAAAAAAGCAACAATATACTTGTGTCTTAAGATCAATGGATGGATAGCAATTACAGATCGACTAATGGATGTTGTAAGCGTTACTGTTTCTTAATCATTAGTGTGATATTTACGAACTGTCTGAACATTGATTTGCCTTAA